GGGGACTTGTCTCTGCTGGGCAAGGAAGAGACAGCCCGAAACTGGTAAAGCCCAGGTCGGCGGGAGCTGAGACCTGGAGGTGGGTCGGGGAGGACGAGGTCCCAAGGATGGTCCTGCTGCTGTGCCTGCCCCTTCCTAAGACTTGGAAGACCTCGGCAGCCCGGGTTCCCACCTCCTGCTGTCCCTCCCACCGCCCTGGGCTCCAGGCAGGTTTTCACGGTTGCTCTCTCCGCTGCAGCACGCAACGCCCTCGTAGTCCTGTTTGCTGGCCTGGTTGCTTACTCCTTCCAGGTGATGGGCTCCCAGCCGCTCACGCTCACCGGCAGCATCCCCCAAGGCCTCCCTGCCTTTCGGCTGCCGCGCTTCTCCATGGCTGCACCCAACGGCACCATCCCCTTCAGGAGCATGGTGGAGGTGGGTGCTGGGCTGCCCGGCAGAGGCTGCTGTCTCCTTACTCCTGTGTTTGCTGGCTCCCCACGCAGCGGGAGGAGCCTCTGCTGCAGGGGGACCCTTGTCCCTCGGTGGCAACACTCACTACGTCCTTCCCTCCCAGGACATGGGGGTCGGGCTGGCCGTGGTCCCGCTCATGGGCCTGCTGGAGACCATTGCGATTGCCAAGGCTTTTGGTACGGCTGCGCCAGGCTCCCGCGCTCTCAGGAGGGGTCTCTGCAGGGGGCTTGGGGTGCTGGGGACATTGCTGTTCCCACGGGGGCAGTGGGAGCGGGCTGGGGGGGTCCTGCACTGTGCACGGCTGGAGTTTGCGCAGGAGCTGAGCATTGTCTTGGGCTGCTCGGGGGTGCTGGGATGGGGGGTGCCGGGGCAGGGTCCCACAGCCGTCCCGGGCACTGCCGTCCCCCCTCCATGCGCATGGCGGGTCGTGCCTGCGGGAAGCTCTGGGCGATAACCGCTCATCTCCTTCCAGCCTTGCAGAACGATTACAGGATTGACCCCAACCAGGAGCTGCTGGCTATGGGTAAGAGGATGCTTGGAGCAGGAGGGCAGGGGGTGGGGATCCGGCCCGAGCACCACCGTGTGTCCCGGTGTGAGCTGGCACAGGCAGGATGCAGGAACAACCACAAAACCACAGATGAAATGCAAATAGTAAATTTATTTCGTTACCTCACCAACCGCACCGAAGCAGCACCCGGGCAGAGGCACACAAGCAGGAACGCAGGCGCCGCAGAGCTTGGGCCATGCTGGAGGATCACCAAACCTGCTGGGTTTGCTGGCTTATCAGGGATTCACGCAGGCGTAGTTTGCCACTGTGCTTTGATCTTTCCCGTAGCAGGGCAGGAATCTCAAGCACGTTCAGTCGGGGGCCTCTAGGTCTATCACAGGTCTACGTCATCCAAACACAGATGTTCTACTTGTCCAACACACAAGGCCAAACAACAATTAGTGTGATATATGTGTTTTTCAATATCCCAGCTGCAAGTCACTCGAGCGCGTTTGCAATCCTCGTCCCCAATCTTCCGCTACTTTCCCACAGTCCCGCAGCCCCCACGGTCCCCATCTCAGCAGTCCTACCTCTTCCTAAAGTTTTTCCTTTCTCATCTTGCGTGGTGCCCCCCAGGCTTTCTCACAGCTTAGCAATTTCCAGAGCAGCCTGAGCCCAGCACGCACGGCTGGACCGGCTCCAGCCCTGGGTACAAGCCCGGGGATGGAGGAGGTGACGGCGGGGGCACAGACCAGTCCCTCTCCTTGCCCATCGCAGGCTTTGCCAACGTCCTGGGCTCCTTCGTCTCATCGTATCCCATCACGGGCAGCTTTGGCCGGTGGGTAGCAGGAGGGGGAGCAGAGCCTCAGCCCTCAGGACCCTCGCTGGGACTGTGTGGTGAGGGGGCTCTGCAAGATCTTGGGTGGAAGGTTGGGTGGACCCTGGCGGGTCCCTGAGCTTGTGCCCTGGTCCCCAGCTGTCCGCCTTGGCTGCCGGGCTATGCATGGGTCCCGCGGCGACCTTCCCCCCCATCTTGCGTGCTCTCCGGTCCCACTGCAGGCTGGGAGCTGCGGGCTTGCTCGTCTTTCTCCCCGGTGGGGTCTGAGGGGGTAGGTGGTTTTCCTGGGGGGATGTCTGGGCAGCGGGTGGGGGCAGCTGCTGGCCCCGGCCGGCCCCAGCGCAGTCTGGGACTGTGTGTTGCTTTGCATTTCAGGACAGCGGTGAACGCGCAGTCGGGTGTCTGCACGCCCGCAGGAGGGCTCGTCACAGGTAGAGCCCCCCGCCCCCGCCGTGGGCTGCTCTGCAGGCCCCTGTGCCCAGCACCCGCTCCCCCCGGGCACCCCGGGCATCGGGGGTGCCATGGCTCAGGTGCTCCCCATCTCCTGCAGGCGCCCTGGTCCTGCTCTCGCTGGCGTACCTCACCTCGCTCTTCTACTACATCCCCAAAGCAGCGCTGGCCGCTGTCATCATCTCGGCTGTGGTCCCCATGTTTGATGCTGGGATCTTCAGGACGCTCTGGCGGGTTAAGAGTGAGGGCAGGAGCCAGGGGCAGTCGATCCTCCGGTGCAACCCAGCTCTGCCTGCAGAGCAGGCGCCGTCCCGGAGGGCTCTGTGGTACAAGGACAAGCCGAGCCTGGGTCATCTCTCTTGCAGGGCTGGACCTTGTGCCCCTCTGCGTGACGTTCCTGCTCTGCTTCTGGGAGGTGCAGTACGGCATCGTGGCTGGGGTGCTGGTCTCAGGGATTCTTCTCCTCTACTCCATCGCCAGGCCCCCAATAAAGGTGGGCTTCACACCTTGTCTTGGATGCGGTGGGGCCAGCCGGGCTGGCAAAGGAGTGCGGGGGTGGGAGAGGGCTTCCCGAGGACAGCACGGTGTTGGGCTGCAGGATTCTTCTGACCTGCTCCTGCCCTATCCTGTGTCCCCAGCCTGCCACCGGTGCTGCGCAGGGACCCCTTTCCAAGGAGCATGAGGAAAGGGTATCCCAGGAGCCAAGAGCAGCAGAGGGAGGCATCGCTGTGCCTGTTCCTGCTGTTTTTTTAGGAGGGGAGTTTCCCTAAGGGATGGGTGGCTCCTGTGTGTCCCCCGCCAGTGGGAAGGACAGTGCTTTGCTTTGTCACACGGGCAGTTGTCCCCACCTGGGGAAGGTCACAGCCCCGAGCTCCCCGTGACTCATCCCCCTCCTGCGGGGTCTTGTGCAGGTGTTGGAGGGGGACGTGCTCCTCGTGCAGCCGGGGAGCAGCCTGTACTTCCCAGCCATCGAGTGCCTCCGGGACACCGTGTGCAGCTATGCCCTGGCAGGTACGGTGCTCCCCAGCCTGCTGGCTTGTCCTGGGGACCTGGCTGTAACCCACTGCCCACCCAGATCCCTGCTGAGGGGGGTGGCAAGTGCGGCCCAGGCCCGCAGGCTGTGGGTGCAAGCAGGGCCAGCACAGCTTCCCTGCGGCGGGGACCAGCCCC